CGGGTTAACCATGCCCTGGTGCGGGTTAACCATGCCCTGGCGTGGGTTAACCATGCCCTGGTGTGGGTTAACCATGCCCTGGTGTGGGTTAACCATGCCCTGGTGTGGGTTAACCATGCCCTGGTGCGGGTTAACCATGTCCTGGTGTGGGTTAACCATGTCCTGGTGTGGGTTAACCATGCCCTGGTGCGGGTTAACCATGCCCTGGTGCGGGTTAACCATGCCCTATTGCGGGTTAAAGGTGTTAAGCACCGTTTATAATTATTGTCTCAATTCTCTTTGATTCTTGTAAGTTAACTTAACATCTGCTTATTTACATTTATTATTATTCAGGTTAATATTGTTGAACACTACAAGGGATCTCAATACTATACAAGGGATCTCAATACTATACAAGGGCTCTCAATACTATACAAGGGATCTCAATACTATACAAGGGATCTCAATACTATACAAGGGATCTCAATACTATACAAGGGATCTCAATACTATACAAGGGATCTCAATACTATACAAGGGATCTCAATACTATACAAGGGATCTCAATACTATACAAGGGACTCAATACTATACAAGGGATCTCAATACTATACAAGGGATCTCAATACTATACAAGGGATCTCAATACTATACAGGGGATCTCAATACTATACAGGGGATCTCAATACTATACAAGGGATCTCAATACTATAAAGGGGATCTCAATACTATACAAGGGATTTCAATACTATACAAGGGATCTCAATATTATACAAGGGATCTCAATACTATACAAGGGATCTCAATACTATACAAGGGATTTCAATACTATACAAGGGATCTCAATACTATAAAGGTGATCTCAATACTATTACAAGGGATTTCAATACTATACAAGGGATCTCAATATTATACAAGGGATCTCAATACTATACAAGGGATCTCAATACTATACAAGGGATTTCAATACTATACAAGGGATCTCAATACTATAAAGGTGATCTCAATACTATACAAGGGATTTCAATACTATACAAGGGATCTCAATACTATACAAGGGATTTCAATACTATACAAGGGATCTCAATACTATACAGGGGATCTCAATACTATACAAGGGATCTCAATACTATACAGGGGATCTCAATAATATACAAGGGATCTCAATATTATAAAGGGGATCTCAATATTATAAAGGAGATCTCAATACTATACAAGGGATTTCAATACTATACAAGGGATCTCAATATTATACAAGGGATCTCAATACTATACAAGGGATTTCAATGCTATACAAGGGATTTCAATATTATACAAGGGATCTCAATACTATACAAGGGATTTCAATGCTATACAAGGGATTTCAATACTATACAAAGGATCTCAATACTATCAAGGGGATCTCAATACTATACAAGGGATTTCAATGCTATACAAGGGATTTCAATACTATACAAGGGATCTCAATACTATACAAGAGATTTCAATGCTATACAAGGGATTTCAATACTATACAAGGGATCTCAATACTATAAAGGTGATCTCAATACTATACAAGGGATTTCAATACTATACAAGGGATCTCAATACTATACAAGGGATTTCAATACTATACAAGGGATCTCAATACTATACAGGGGATCTCAATACTATACAAGGGATCTCAATACTATACAGGGGATCTCAATAATATACAAGGGATCTCAATATTATAAAGGGGATCTCAATATTATAAAGGAGATCTCAATACTATACAAGGGATTTCAATACTATACAAGGGATCTCAATACTATACAAGGGATCTCAATACTATACAAGGGATCTCAATGATATACAAGGGATCTCAATGATATACAAGGGATCTCAACACACTACAAGATATCTCAACACAATTCAAGGGATATCAACACACTACAAGGGATCTCAACACACTACAAGGGATTTAAACAAAACACAAGGGATCTCAACACACTACAAGGGATCTCAACACACTACAAGGGATCTCAACTCAATTCAAGGGATCTCAACACACTACAAGAGATCTCAACACACTACAAGGGATTTAAACAAAACACAAGGGATCTCAACACACTACAAGGGATCTCAACACACTACAAGGGATCTCAACACAATTCAAGGGATCTCAACACACTACAAAGGATATCAACACAATACAAGGGATCTCAACGCATCTCAAGGGATCTCAAAACAATACAAGGGATCTCAAAACAATACAAGGGATCTCAAGACAATACAAGGGATCTCAACACACTACAAGGGATCTCAACACACTACTATATATCTCAACACAATACATGGGATCTCAACACACTACAAGGGATCTCAACACACTACAAGATAACTCAACACACTACAAGGGATCTCAACACACTACTATATATCTCAACACATTACAAGGGATCTCAACACACTAAAGGAATCTCAACACACTACAAGGGATCTCAAAACAAGTAATCTCAACACACTACAAAGGATCTCAGCACAATACAAGGGATCTCAAAACAACACAAGGGATCTCAACTCAACACAAGGGGGTCTGAACACAACAAAAGGGATCTCAACACAATACAAGGAATCTCAACATAAGGAATTTCAGCACACTACAAGGGATTTCAACACAACACAAGGGATCTCAACACAAGTGATCTCAACACACTACAAGGGATTTCAACACAAGTGATCTCAACACACTACAAGGGATCTCAACATAAAAAATGGATCTCAACACACTAAAAGGGATTTCAACACAAGGGATCTCAACACAACACAAGGGATCTCAACACAACACAAGGGATCTCAACACAACACAAGGAATCTCAACACAACACAAGGGATCTCAACACAACACAAGTGATCTCAACACAGCACAACACATGGGATCTCAACACAACACAAGGGATCTCAACACAACACAAGGGATCTCAACACAATACAAGGGATCTCAACACAAGGAATCTCAACACAACACAAGTGATCTCAACACAGCACAACACATGGGATCTCAACACAACACAAGGGATCTCAACACAATACAAAGGATCTCAACACAATACAAGGGATCTCAACACAAGGAATCTCAACACAACACAAGGGATCTCAACACAACACAAGGGATCTCAACACAACACAAGGGATCTCAACACAATACAAAGGATCTCAACACAAGGAATCTCAACACACTACAAGGGATTTCAACACAACACAAGGAATCTCAACACAATACAAAGGATCTCAACACAAGGAATCTCAACACAACACAAGGGATCTCAACACAACACAAGGAATCTCAACACAACACAAGGAATCTCAACACAATACAAGGGATCTCAAAACAATACAAGGGTTCTCAACACACTACAAAGGATCTCAACACAAGGGATCTCAACACACACATGAAATCTCAACACACTACAAGGGATCTCAACACAATACAAGGGATCTCAACACAATACAAGGGATCTCAACCCAATACAAGGGATCTCAACACAATACAAGGGATCTCAACACAATACAAGGGATCTCAACACAATACAAGGGATCTCGACACAATACAAGGGATCTCAACACAATACAAGGGATCTCAACACAATACAAGGGATCTCAACACAATACAAGGGATCTCGACACAATACAAGGGATCTCAACACAATACAAGGGATCTCAACACAATACAAGAGATATCAACACAACACAAGTGATCTCAACACAATACAAGGGATCTCAACACAATACAATGGATCTCAACACAATACAATGGATCTCAACACAATATAAGGGATCTCAACACACATGGGATCTCAAAACAATACAAGGGATCTCAACACAATGCAATGGATCTCAACACAATATAAGGGATCTCAACACACATGGGATCTCAACACACATGGGATCTCAACACAATACAAGGGTTCTCAACACAACACAAGGGACATCAACACAATACAAGGGATCTCAACACACTACAAAGGATCTCAACACACATGAAATCTCAACACACTACAAGGGATCTCAACACACGTGGGATCTCAACACAAAACAAGGGATCTCAGCATAAAACAAGGGATCTCAGCATAAAACAAGGGATCTCAGCATAAAACAAGGGATCTCAATACAACATAAGGGATCTCAATGCAACACAAGGGATCTCAACACAACACAAGGGATCTCAACACACTACAAAGGATCTGAACACAAGGGATCTCGACACAACAAAAGGGATCTCAACACAATACAAGGGATTTCAACACAATACAAGGGATCTCAACACAATACAAGGGATCTCAACACAAGGGATCTCAACACACATAGGATCCCAACACACAACAAGGGATCTCAACACAATACAAGGGATCTCAACAATACAGTGGATCTCAACACAATACAAGGGATCTCAACACAATACAGTGGATCTCAACACAATACAAGGGATCTCAACACAATAAAAGAGCTCTCAACACAACACAAGGGATCTCAACACAAAACAAGAGATCTCAACACACTACAAAGGATCTGAACACACTACAAGGGATCTGAACAGAACACAAGGGATCTCAACACAATACAAGGGATTTCAACACAATACAAGGGATCTCAACACAATACAAGGGATCTCAACACAACACAAGGGATCTCAACACACATGGGATCTCAACACAAGGGATCTCAACATAACACAAGGGATCTCTACACAACACAAGGGATCTCAACACAACACAAGGGATCTCAACACAATACAAGGGATCTCAACACAACACAAGGGATCTCAACACACATGGGATCTCAACACAAGGGATCTCAACATAACACAAGGGATCTCTACACAACACAAGGGATCTCAACACAATACAAGGGATCTCGACACATTACAAAGGATATGAACACAAGGAATCTCAACACACATGGGATCTCAACGCAAGGAATCTCAACAAAATACAAGGGATCTCAACACAATACAAGTGATCTCAACACACTACAGAGGAATCTCAACAGTGTTTACTCACCTTTCCTCACCGTTGGGAGATTTAGCAAGCTTGACAGCAAAGATGAACTGTGCTGCACATATCAAGAGGCAGCTGAGGTCGAGGGAGAGTGTGAGTGCAGCTAGTGCCAGTGTGACCTCCTGGACACTGTCAGCGTCGTGTGCCAGCGGCGTCAGCTCCACCAAGAAGGTGAGTGCCAGCAGTGCCAGCAGCAGCGACGTCAGACACAGCAGTCCAAGGGAGGTAAGTGCCCCACGAGACTCAGTTGATCTAGTGAGTGTAATGAAGCGTGGTAGCAGTCCCGCTGATCTTTTGCTGCTGATGGTAGCTTTAGAGAGGTCAGCGTGAGGGATGGGCGAGAGGTGCGTGATGTGGGAGAGGTCCGTGAGGTGGGAGTGGTCTCTGGACTGGTCCAGACCCGTGGTCCGCGTCACCGTCGTGGTCCCGGGACTGCCAGACCCGGAGTTGCCACCCACGGAGTGCTTGGAGGAGGAGAGAGAGCTCATGTTGAGCACTGGGTGCTGGCGGCCACCCGCCGCACCGTTCACCTTAACACTGAGTGTACCTGGTGAGATGGTGTGGTTGTGGTGGTGGTGTTGTTGCTGGTGGTGTTGGTGGTGTTGCTGGTGGAGAGCGGGAAGAGTGGCCCCGCCCCTGAGGGAGCGCCGGCCCTCTGTGGTGTCAGTAGCATGGGTGCTGCCCCTCCCCGGCCCCGCCCCGTGTACCTGTCTACCAGCCACAGTCAGCATGTGTTTCAGCATAGAGCCGTCGCGGGGACCAGGGGTCATTGGTGGCGTGGGCGCCGCCACCACTTCACCATACCGTGGGCGCCGCCCTCGCCTGGGTCGGCGGGGTGGCAGCTTGCTGGGTGGCGGGGCGTCACAACAGCGCAGGGCGGGGGATCATCCTGTTGACTTGCTGCTGGGAGCCACCTCACGCTGACCTGCTGCTTCTAGGAGCCACCTCACGCTGACCCGCTGCTGCTGGGAGCCACCTCACACTGAGCGGTTGCTGCTGGGAGCCACCTCACACTGACCTGCTGCTGCTGGGAGCCACCTCACACTGACCTGCTGCTGCTGGTAGCCACCTCACACTGACCTGCTGCTGCTGGTAGCCACCTCACACTGACCTGCTGCTGCTGAGAGTCATCTCGCGCATCTCTGTGGAAGAAACCATAAGAGTGAGCTGACCTGTAAATCACGTGATAATGTCACAAGAGGTAGGAAAGAGAAGAGAGTGCACCTGTCTGGCTTCAACACACCTGTACACCCTCACCACCACACCTGTCTGGCTTCAACACACCTGTACACCCTCACCACCACACCTGTCTGGCTTCAACACACCTGTACACCCTCACCACCACACCTGTCTGGCTTCAACACACCTGTACACCCTCACCACCACACCTGTCTGGCTTCAACACACCTGTACACCCTCACCACCACACCTGTCTGGCTTCAACACACTGCCACTATCCATCATTTGCATAAAGGCAAATGATCAATAAACCTATGGACGTCAAGAGGGAACTGGAAAAGTTCCTCATATCAATGCTTAACCAGCTGGGCTGTGGTTCCTTCGTTGGACTGCGTGTGGTCAGCAAAACAGCCTAGTTGATTAGGCCTTGATCCTGGAGGCTATCTGGTCTGGGACCGGGCCGTGGGCGTTGACCCCAGAAAGCATTCTTCAAGTATCCTTCAGTACGCTTAAGAGATAACACAATATATAAGGTGAATTATCAACAAACTTCATAAGTTTCTCAAACTGCTGATCAACTGGGCCGTGGACTCCATGCGGCAGGCACCAACAACCTGGTTGACCAGGTCATCAATTAGGTGGTCTAGTCTGGGACTGGGTCGTGGAGGAGATCACTTCCTTAATCTTTAGCAGGAACCCTCAGGTAACCCTTCTCCATGCATGTTCCCCTCTCTCTTTCTCCCCCTAACATGTTTCCTCTAGCCCCTCCCCTCACATACTCCTCATTCCCCTTCATTCACACGCTCCCCTCACATACTCCTCATTCCCCTTCATTCACACGCTCCCCTCACATACTCCTCATTCCCCTTCATTCACACGCTCCCCTCACATACTCATTCCCCTTCATTCACACGCTCCCCTCACATACTCCTCATTCCCCTTCATTCACACGCTCCCCTCACATACTCCTCATTCCCCTTCATTCACACGCTCCCCTCACATACTCCTCATTCCCCTTCATTCACACGCTGCCCCTCACATACTCCTATTCCCCTTCATTCACATGCTCCCCTCACATACTCCTCATTCCCCTTCATTCACACGTCCCCTCACATACTCCTCATTCCCTTCATTCACACGCTCCCCTCACATACTCCTCATTCCCCTTCATTCACACGTTCCCCCTCACATACTCCTCATTCCCTACATCTACACGCTCCCCTTCACCTTCCCCTCACAGATACATTCGGGTACCTCCCATCAAAATACACATCCTTACCCCTCCTTGTCCATGTACCTCTCAGCACCTCCCCCCCTCTTTTCCCCTCCACCTCACACGCCCCACTTGCCCTGTTGTAAGTCAGCTGGTGGGAACCAGGAAGGTACATCGTGGGAAATATGCTAATGAGTTCAACCGACCTTAACGGCCTTCACAACGACCACAAGCGACGCCTTGGTTCCTGTTGCATTCTGATCTGCAGCAGCCTGGTCTGCAGCACCTTGGTCTGCTGCACTCTGGTCTGCAGCACCCTGGTCTGCTGCACCCTGGTCTGCAACACCCTGGTCTGCAGCACTCTGGTCTGCTGCACCCTGGTCTGCAACACCCTGGTCTGCAGCACTCTGGTCTGCAACACCCTGGTCTGCAGCACTCTGGTCTGCTGCACCCTGGTCTGCAGCAGACCAGAGTGCTGTACCCTGGTCTGCTGCACCTTGGTCTACTGCACCCTAGTCTGCTGCATCATGGTCTGTAGCACCAAGGTCTTCTGCACCCTGGTGTGCTGCACCCTGGTCTGCAGCACCCAGGTCTTCTGCACCCTGGCCTGCTGCACCCTAGCCTGCTGCACCGTACCCTGGTCTGCTGCACCCTGGTCTGCTGCATCATGGTCTGTAGCACCAAGGTCGTCTGCACCCTGGCCTGCTGCACCCTAGCCTGCTGCACCCTGGCCTGCTGCACCCTAGCCTGCTGCACCCTGGCCTGCTGTACCCTGGTCCCCAGCACCCTGGCCTGCTGCACCCTGGTCTGCTGCACCCTGGTCTGCTGCATCATGGTCTGCAGCACCAAGGTCTTCTGCACCCTGGTGTGCTGCACCCTGGTCTGCAGTACCCAGGTCTGTTGCACCCTGGTCTGCTGTACCCTGGTCCGCTGCACCCTGGTATGCTGCACCCTGGTCTGCAGCACCCTGGTCTGCAGCACCCTGGTCTGCAGCACCCTGGTGTGCTGCACCCTGGTCTGCAGCACTCTGGTGTGCTGCACCGTGGTGTGCTGCACCGTGGTGTGCTGCACCCTGGTCTGCTGCACCCTGGTCTGCTGCACCCTGGTCTGCTGCACCTTGATCTACTGCACCCTGGTCTGCTGCGTCATGGTCTGCAGCACCAAGGTCTTCTGCACCCTGGTGTGCTGCACCCTGGTCTGCAGTACCCAGGTCTGCTTCACCCTGGTCTGCAGCACCCTGGTGTGCTGCACCCTGGTCTGCTGCACCGTGGTGTGCTGCACCCTGGTCTGCAGCACCGTGGTATGCTGCACGCTGGTCTGTAGCACCGTGGTGTGCTGCACACTGGTCTGCAGCACCGTGGTGTGCTGCACACTGGTGTGCTGCATCGTGGTGTGCTGCACCCTGGTCTGCAGCACCGTGGTGTGCTGCACCCTGGTGTGCTGCACCCTGGTCTGCAGCACCGTGGTGTGCTGCACCCTGGTCTGCAGCACCGTGGTGTGCTGCACCTGGTCTGCAGCACCGTGGTGTGCGTCACCTTGGTCTGCTGCACTCTTGTCTGCTGCACCCTTGTCTGCTGCACCCTGGTCTGCAGCACCGTGGTGTGCGTCACCTTGTCTGCTGCACCCTTGTCTGCTGCACCCTGGTCTGCAGCACCGTGGTGTGCTGCACCTGGTCTGCAGCACCGTGGTGTGCGTCACCTTGGTCTGCTGCACTCTTGTCTGCTGCACCCTTGTCTGCTGCACCCTGGTCTGCAGCACCGTGGTGTGCGTCACCTTGTCTGCTGCACCCTTGTCTGCTGCACCCTGGTCTGCTGCACCCTGGTCTGCTGCACCCTGGTGTGCTGCACCCTGGTGTGCTGCACCCTGGTCTGCTGCACCCTGGTCTGCTGCACCCTTGTCTGCTGCACCCTTGTCTGCTGCACCCTTGTCTGCTGCACCCTTGTCTGCTGCACCCTGGTCTGCTGCACCCTGGTCTGCTGCACCCTGGTGTGCTGCACCCAGGTCTGCTGCACCCTTGTCTGCTGCACCCTGGTCTGCTGCACCCTGGTCTGCTGCACCCTGGTCTGCTGCACCCTGGTCTGCTGCACCCTGGTCTGCTGCACCCTGGTCTGCTGCACCCTGGTCTGCTGCACCCTGGTGTGCTGCACCCTGGTGTGCTGCACCCTTGTCTGCTGCACCCTTGTCTGCTGCACCCTGGTGTGCTGCACCCTGGTGTGCTGCACCCTGGTGTGCTGCACCCTGGTCTGCTGCACCCTGGTCTGCGTCACCCTGGTCTGCTGCACCCTGGTCTGCTGCACCCTGGTCTGCTGCACCCTGGTCTGCTGCACCCTGGTCTGCTGCACCCTGGTCTGCTGCACCCTGGTCTGCTGCACCCTGGTCTGCTGCACCCTGGTATGCTGCACCCTGGTCTGCTGCACCCTGGTCTGCTGCACCCTGGTGTGCTGCACCCTGGTCTGCTGCACCCTGGTCTGCTGCACCCTGGTCTCCTCTGCTCCAGCGAGCAGTACACACTCAGGATTATAAAAGGTTCTCAGTAATTTAGATGCTTTATATTTTGACCGACATTACAGTAGCAGTGAAAGCTCTCTCTTTGCATTTTCCAGTTCTGTAATGTTGGCTGCCCTAAATGGAGATGCTAGAATGCTGTAATATTTCCGTCTAGAGTACCATCATTGGCTTGATATCTCCTGTTTTGAAGGCTCTTGTTATCCAGCCTATCATTTTTCTTGCAGATGTGATAGCAACACTGAGTGGCTTTGACTCTACTCTGCCCTAGCCTTTTTTTATTTTTTTCTTAAAAATTTCCATAGCTGAGTAAATAAATTTTATCCTGGGGAAAGAGGTGGAGCACATTCCTCGTTGAAAATTTACTCAACGTAAAAGTCTTGCCCCAAGCCGGGCTGCGGATATACAAAACCCCGAAACCAGAAACCGGTTTCAGGCCATCACACTTATTGAACACTACGCTATTTTCTGTGGCCCACTGGAAGGTTTGGTTCATGGCGGCTTGGCTGCGTTTTTGTTTCCTCCGTAAATGTCATTCTCAAACATTCTAGTATCATGCACTAAGGATGATTATAGTTTTAGGATTTATCTGAGAGATTACGAGAATGAAAATGAGAAATGGATCAGTCACTGTGCCTCATGGAGCTGAGATTTTTTTCTGTGTCAGCCTCTGAGTTGACAGTACTGACGATTACTCTGTTTCCAATTTGTTATAAAGTTTAATATCCATCTGACTTCTCGTTATTTTTTTTTTACTTATTGTGGGTGCTACTGAACCATGAAATTTTGAGGTTATGATCATGTGCCTCATCTTGACACTTGTGGAAGACTTGCAATTTCTGCGTATATCATCTTGTATTTCAGTACATCCAAGACTATTTACCTGGAGTCTACCTGGAGGGTGTTCCGGGGGTCAACGTCCCCGCGGCCCAGTCCTTGGCTAGGCCTCCCGGTGAATCAGGGCCTGATTAACCAGGCTATTACTGCTGGCCGCACGCAGTCCAACGTATGAACCACTGCCCCCGGGGTCCGGTTCCAACAAAATATTGGAACAATATTAATAAAACTGTTTTTTTTAGAATCACAAAACTTGGCAATTACTATACTTGAAGCATATGTAAGAGAGGATTGTTCTGTGCACAGTATCTCTGTCAATAATTTCATTTTCCTTATATGCAGGTGTTAAGTGTGCGTGAATAGTCTGTGCGTCAATACAAGAGAAGCGCCATCAAATGTTAACATATA